GTCAGACGGGGTCATCAAGTTAAAATTTGGAGTCAGTTGGGGTCATCTAGGGTCACAGAAACTAAAGTTACAAGCAATTGGGTTCATGAAGGGGTCATGAGGTCATATGAGGACAAGTAGCATAAGCCTCTTATTAAGTGGGGGTCATACAGGGTCATGAAGCAAAAATTTGGAAGCAATTGGGGTCAGCTAGGGTCAGAGAATAGAAATGTACAAGCAATTGGGGTCATGAAGGGGTCAGTGAGTGTTGGAATGATGTCAATGAGGTCATATGAGGACAAGTAGCATGAGCCTCTGATTAAGGGGGGTCATACGAGGTCATCAAGGAAAAATTTGGAGTCAGTTGGGGTCATCTAGGGTCAGAGAAACGAAAATTACAGCCATTGGGGTCATGAAGGGTTCATGGGGTCATATGAGGACAAGTAACATAAGCCTCTGATTAAGGGGGGTCACACGAGGTCATCAAGTTAAAATTTGAATGCAGTTGGGGTCATCTAGGGTCACAGAAACTGAATTTACAAGCAATAGGGGGGTCGTGAAAGGGTCATGAGGTCATATGAGGACAAGTAGCATAAGCCTCTGATTAAGTGGGGGGTCAGACGGGGTCATCAAGCAAAAATTTGGAAGGAACTGGGTCACCTAGGGTCAGAGAAACTGAATTTACAAGCAATATGGGTCATGAAGGGGTCATGAGGTCATATGCGGACAAGTAGCATAAGCCTGTGATTAAGTGGGGTCATACGGGGTCATCAAGCAAAAATTTGGAAGGAACTGGGGTCAGCTAGGGTCAGAGAAACTGAATTTATAAGCAATATGGGTCATGAAGGGGTCATGAGGTCATATGGGGACAAGTAGCATAAGCCTGTGATTAAGGGGGGTCATACGGGGTCATCAAGCAAAAATTTGGAAGCAATTGGGGTCACCTAGGGTCACAGAATCGGAATGTACAAGCAATTGGGGGTCATGAAGGGGTCAGTGAGGGTTGGAATTATGTCAGTGAGGTCATATGAGGACAAGTACCATAAGGCTCTGATTCATGTGGGGTTATGCAGGAGTCATCAAGGAAAAATATGGAGGCAATTAGGGTCATGTAGGTTCATAGAAGCTGAATTTCCAAAGCGGGGAGTGCAATGTGGGTAGGAATGAAGTCAATAAGGTCATATGAGGACAAGTAGTATAAGGCTTTCATTAATGGGAGTGTTATGCAAAGTCATGAATTAAAAATATGGTGGCAATTAGGATCATCTAGGGTGACCAAAGCTGAGTTGACAAGAAATGGGGTACATGGGGGTAGGAATGTCAGTTAGGTCATATGAGCTCAAGGATTACGTGGCTCTAATTAAAGGGGGGTTCACATTGGGTCATCCAGGGAACATTTGTTTCCATTGGGATCATCTAGGGTCACTGAAGCTGAATATAGAAACAATTGCGGTAATGAAGGGGGTCAATGCAGACTAGGCGCGGAAGGTGGGGGTTATGCAGGGTCTATGAGGACTAATTTGGAGGCAATTGGGGTCACATTGGGTCCTAGTGGATAAATTTGTGGGTAGCTGGGGTATTGTGAAGTCGTCAATGATGGTGACATTGGAAGCAGTCAAGTCACAAAGGCATCAGTGAGGGGGTAGGTTGGCGTCAATGGGGTTTCACAGAGATCACAGACGATTAGTCTGGAGGCAGTGGGTGTCATTAATTGGGTCAGTGAGGATCACGCTGGAGCCAGTTGTGTTACACAGGGTGAGTTTGGAGTCAGTGTGTCACACAGGGACCAGTGTGGCTGGGTAGCAAGGCAATGAGGTCACATGGGGTCATGGTGAGCAAGGCTGAATGTAGTTGGGGGTCACCCAGGCATCATGAAGGCAAATGCACCACACTTTAACCAGCTGAGCTAACAGCGCCACGAGCAGCCCACCTCCCACCACTATGTTGTAAAGGAGGTAGAAGCCATCACGGGGTCATTCTCCACGGGGTCATCATTGCTGGCTGCCTCCCTCTTTTTTTGTCTGCCTCTCCCTGAGTGTCAGCAGAAAAGCAGTACCTACAATCTGAGGACTGCACCAAGGTTGCACGGGGAGCCAAACTCACAACCTTGGGTGTTGTTAGCAGCACAGTCTAAGCACTGAGCCAGCCCCTGCCTGAGGACTAGCTAGTCTCCCTCTCTCTTCTTCTGTCCACAGCATTCAGACAAGACAGACCCCAAAAAGCCACACAAAGGCAGCCCCCATTCTTGGTGTCATTAACACCCTGCACAAACCAGCCAACAAGATATGTGCCTCCCCCAGCCCTTTCAGAAACAGGGAACAGTCCATGCTGTGAATCTCACAGCCTCTAGAACAACAGCAGGGGCAGCAGAGATGGTACATAGCGGGGAACCCACATGGTGAGGGAAGGGAAGATGTTGCAGAGGAGAGCGGGACACAGACATCACTGAGTGTTGGGAGCGCTGGTAACATGACCGATCAGCCTGTAACCAATTCGCTCCCACATCTCTCAAACGTGTGGCATAGCTCTGCCACCCCCCATGGGTATTTTAAGTCAGGCAGAGATCCCTATGGCAGATTGCTGGCAAGAGGGGTTTTAACCCACAGATGCTGCTCAAACTGCAAGTCAAGTACTTTGGCACCCATGCAGTTCTGCCTCTTTCAGTGCACAGGGGTGGGGGGGTTCATCTCCCATCCCACACTGGTATGAAAGTGACAGCACTGCCCATATCAGGGACGGTGCCTGGGCAGAACCTCCTTCCTCCAGTTCATTTGGGAACACCTGCTCAGTGGAATGCTCCAAGCTGGGGCTCAGGGAGGCAAAAAGGATCAGTGCTCGAAAAATAGGGAATGTCAGGGAGCAGCCAAGCCTCCCAGGGTAGCTGTGTGTGCACTGTCAGTACCTGCAGGCTCCAGGTACCCACACAGCTCGCACCTTATAACCACCCATGTCTCTCTTTGAACAGGGGTTAAGAGGCAGCAGGAAGACCCCACAGCCACAAGAGGGGCCCGGAATGTGCTGTGCTCTTGCTGTTCGCTTTCTTGCTCTAAGTAACTGAAAACATCAGCAGCTCTCTGATGCTTTCCGTTACGATGTATCATTCGAACTGTGGAGGGGGACTGGATGGCTAGGAAGTACAGAGCCTTCTTGAGGTGACTGGTTCATACCCAACCCAAGTCACCTAACCAAAAGGTCACATCCCCTGATGGCAGTATGGGGATCTTAGGCCAGTTCCCTTTGAACAAGTGACCATATCACAAAACCACCCCACCGTGAGCTCAAATCAGCTGCCTTGGGGGTCTCTGCAGAGACGTTGGGACACTGTCAGGCCAGGGCCCAGCTCATACCGAGGTCCCCCTGTCTCAACTGGACCCTGCCAGATACAAAGCTGGAACGTGTCTGGCTCCCTGGTAGCTTAGTATTGATGAAATAGGTATAGGAATGTGTTGGGAACCTACTGAATGATTGTGAGCTGTGGCATGTTTTGGGGAGCAGACAGTGGGAAACCGAGTCTCTTCCCCTCTCCCCCACTTTAGGCTTAATCAGTTTTGCCTTTATTTAATACAATTTCAGCCAGAATTATCACCACTTGTAGTGTCTGGCACATACATTCATACCAGACACGTAATAACAGACAAGACAGAATAGATAAATGGGCTCCAGTGCACCAAGAAGTCCATCCTTCCTCCATGACATTTGTCACCTCCTCTGAGCTCCTGCTCTGGTCTTTTAGTCTTGTTCTTCAGTTTTTGACCCAGGGTTTCTCCAGTTTTTGGGGGGCCATTTTACATATACTTATACATTTTTACATTTTCCACTACCTAATTTTCCTCCCATCAGCATTGAACACATTATCCATTGAATTTTACATAACCTGTATATTACACATGCACAAACATTAATCACTGAATGCCCACACTTTTCCTGCTGAATTTATAATTTCTGGGTCCTTTTGCCCTGGGTCATCCAGTTTTTAAATTTCCCAGAAAAAGGAAGATTTTGTTGATCATTACATGTTTGTATCTATTTCTTACATCTTCTAACATGACACATTAGTTATCCTGCTAACAACAGCATTTTAAACAAATCAGTCAGTTATATTAAAAAGAAAATAACAAAAATACACTGATGCCAGGCAAAACCTGGGCCTGCCTGTTACCTTACTCAATTCATTACAAATATAGCTAATGAAGCTTTTAACTCTGATCGTTAACAATCCTTCGTTTCAATGTTATAGATCAGTTTGTGTATATTACCGTCCCCCTTAGTCTATTAGGAAGGGAATTTTAGAGAGCATCTTCTGATTCTTCAATGTTAACATTTCTTATTTTCTGCAAACACAAAGTTGTCAGGGGATTTTTTTATTTTACACAAAGTCCAAAAAAATTTGTACAGCCAAATCTTATCAATGCTTTTCCTGTTACAAAATTTTAGGCGCTCTGGGTGTTTTAGGCCTTGGTATATAGTTACTTTTAATGATACCACAACAATGCATTAATCTTACTTGTAATATCTGTGACTGTATAAATCTCCATACAGGAGAGGGGCATTAGTGTGAAGAGTGGCTCTTCTATAGAAATTGTTATGCCCCTTCCCACAGAGGAGACCCTTCAATACCAGATGGGTTAGGGTTGGATCTTACAACTGGAAACTCCCTACATCTGGATTGAAAACCCATCAACAAAAGGACTAAAGACTTTTATTGTTTTGCTTTCCTCCCGTGAAGATGAGTCATGCAAGTGAACTCCCCCCATCAGATGAGGTTGCAGCTCAGAGCACATGGAAGGAGGGGGATAAATTCCCAAACCAAAGGAACTAAGCAAGTGCTATGTTTTATGTCAAAGCATAAGGGGTTAAAAGGACCCTGCAAGTCACCTTTTCAGACTTTGCCCATCACCAAGGAAGTGTTTGCCAGAGTTTCTGTAGATATTGTGGGACCTCTACCCAGACCTTCCAGAAATGGGAAGAAATATATCCTGGTTATGATGGATTCTGCCATCAGATACGCTGGCATTTATGCTGCCCCTACTTGCTGCTGGGAATAACTACGCTTTATTGCACAAGGAATGTTCTTGGTCTCAGTGAACTGATGAAAGTGTTGGCTCTGATTCTGGGTCAGGCCCCTTCTCCTCTCCCCAGCTGAGAATTCCTCTGGTGCACGGTTTCTCCAGGGGGTTGAGGCTGGAATATCAGTGTAAGGTTCTGTAGGGACTAGATCCTGGGCCTGAGGGGCAGACAGCCTCTCTACAGAGTTACCGGACAGCCATGATAGAGCCATATGCATTATCACATTGACCCTGTGGAGATAAACACCACAGGAAGTATCAATACGGAATGCCAGACTGATCACTTCCCTTGTGGTCCCTGATTGGCCTAGGTGCCCTGTTTAAGCCCAAGAGAAGTTTCAGGACGTGTTCACCTAGCTGCATAGACTCCCTAGCCAGCTGTAGCGACTAACCTGCCCCTTGACTCACTCCTGGACTTCAACCCTGACTCAGACCTCTGGCTTTCCCCCTTGAACCCTGGCTTTTAGGCTTGGATTCTGCCTCCTGCTTTGACCTCGGGCTTCGGAACTTGGACTCTGCCTCTCGCTTCGACTTCTGGTAAGTTTTGGGTCCTGAATTTGTCTTCTGAAATAAAGAAAGGAGACATGGAAGTCAGAAGTTAGAGCTAAATAAGAAAAAAGACAAGGACTGACAATACTGAAGACCCACACTGAAGTCCGTAAGTGACCTCTACCCGGCTTCCGTTGCTTCCTCCATATCTTTCAGATTAAGTGGATCTAACCATACCAGATGGCACAGAGTTTCTTGGAAATACGGCATCCTGCCTACTAGGGAGACAGCTAAAACACTCAGATTTTTAAAGTTATGCTACCTATCATCCTGCAGGTGAAAAGGTAAGTTCTCTAGCTCCCTAAATCAGCTGCAACACATCCCTTCTACCTCTGCTGGCTTTCCGGCTTCCAATCTGTGATTGGCTACAGCACTAGCTCCACAGTCGACTGTAAGGGATGAGTACCAGGAGAAGATTGAGAAACCTTGCTCTAGAAGTTCATGGAGGATAGGTCCATCAATGGCTATTAGCCCTTATCCTGCTGTTAATGGATGTTACTATTGGTTTTAACCTTTGAGTAACATGCAGGTTTCCACTGACTAACCACAGGGCAATCACCTGTCAGCATCATTAGTTCACATAAAAATTATGCCTCCAATCATGGAGGAAAACAATTGATACTGGAGCAGCACTGGGTATAGTGCTGATCAAACTCACTGGAGAAAAGAAGATTATAAATGGTCCTAATGCTCAATCAGTTTGATTTTTCTAGACTGTTTTTGTGCATTTCCTTGTGTGCTTATTAAAAACAATCCCACTGCAACAAAACTAGAATAAAGACTAATTTAGTGGTGTGCAGTAAGCAGGTGTTGATTTTGCTTTTTAACTTTTACTTGTGAATAAATGATTACTGGAAAATCAGCTGAAAACATTCCACTTTGCTTTATAATTATTATATTTGAATGAAACATAAAATGTGGCCTTAGTCCTGCAAGAATGTCACTCATTTTAATTCCAAAATTCTCGTATTCCACTCAAATTTGGTGTTTCTCGAGTGTTATTTTTGAAAATTGTTTACATCAGAAATAAAGAAACATAAGAATATGATCATCACAGGCAGTTATTTCCATTAAAGAAAGGAATCCCGCAGCATTTTGTGTTTCCTACATACTCAATTATTGTGCGTCCTTCATTTTGGGTCTTTGTCACACATTTCATCCCATATTTGGGCCTTTGCAGGCTGACAAATCTGTTGCTAACAAGATTCTGTCCTCATTGATCTAATTACAGGACTATGGCCTATATCAGTGCAGCAGTATTCATTGCATACCATCCCAGCAAAAATAAGCCATAATTTCTTTTTAAATAGAAAAATGTGTGTATGATCTTGAAGTCGTGTCAACTATGTGACCTTTATGCTGTATGTTGCTCTGTAGAATATTCAGTAAACACATACTAGACATAAATACCCTCACTAGATGGAAATGGAAGAATTATTGATAATAATGCAGAAGAAGCAGAAGTGTTCAATAAATATTTCTGTTCTGTATTGGGGGAATAAATAGATTGTATAGTTTCATCATATGATGATGATAACACTCTTTCCCTTCCATTAGTATTTCTGAAGGATGTTAAACAGAAGCTACTAAAGTCAGACACTTTAAAATCAACAGGTCCAGATAACTTGCATGCAAGAGTTTTAAAAGAGCAGGCTGATAAGCTCAGTGGATTGTTAACATTGATTTTCAATAAGTCTTGGTGCCAGGGGCGGCTCCAGGCACCATCGCAGCAAGCACGTGCCTGGGGCGGCAAGCCACGGGAGGAGGCCCGCTGGTCGCTGTGACAGCGGCAGACAGGCAGCCTTCAGCGGCACGCCTGCAGGAGGTCTGCCGGTCCCGCGGTTTGGTGGCAATTCGGCGGCGGGTACGCCGAAGGCACGGGACTGGCAAATCACCCGCAGAAACGCCGCCGAATCCGCGTGACCAGCGGACTGCCAGCAGACATGCCGCTGAGGGCCGCCTGACTGCCGTGCTTGGGGCGGCAAAAAACATAGAGCCGTCCCTGCTTGGTGCCCTGGGGAAGCTCTAGAAGAAAGCTAATGTGCCAATTTAAAAAAAAAGTAAATGGGATAACCCGGGAAATTATAGGCCTGGCAGCTTGACATTGATCTTGGGCAAGATAATGGAGCGGCTGATATGGGATTTTATTAATAAAGGTCTGTAGGAAGGTAACGTAATTAGTGCAAATCAACATGGGTTTAAAGAAAATAGATCTTGTCTAACTAACTTGGTATCTTTTTTCTTTTATGACATTCCGAGTTTGGGTGGTAGAGGTAACGGTGCTGACATACTATCCTTAGCCTTCTGTAAGGTGTTAGACCTCGTACTGCACAACATTTTGATTAAAAAACTAGAATGGTATAAAATTAACATGGCACACACTAAATGGAGGAAAAACTGGCTGATGGGTCTAAAAATGTAACTATAAACAGGGAATCATCATTGAGCGGGGCTGTTTTCAGTGGAGTCCCTCATGGATCTGTTCTTGGTCCTATGCTATTTAATGTATTTATCAATGCCGTGGAAGAAAATATAAAATCATAACTGATAAAGTTTGAAGATCACACCAAAATTGGCAGAATAGTAACTAATGAAGAGTACAGGTCACTAATTCAGAGCCATTTAGATCGGTTGGCAAACTGGGTGCAAGCAAACCATGTATTTTAATACAGTTAAATGAAAATGTATACATCTGGGAACAAAGAATGTAGGCCATACTTAAAGGATGGGGAAATCTATCCTGGGAAACAGTGACTCTGAAAAAGATTTGGGGGTCATGGTGGATAATCAGCTGAACATGAGCTCCGAGTGTGATGCTGTGGCCAAAAGAACAAATGCGATCTTGGGATGCACAAACGGGAATTTGGGTAGGAATAGAGAGTTATTTTACTTCTGTATTTGGCACTGGTGCGACTACTGCTGGAATCGTGTGTCCCGTTCTGGCTTTCATTTTTTCTCTTTTCTGATTTTCCCTCACTTTCTCCCGAAATCCTTCTCAGTGTCAAAATAGAAAGGGGAAAAAAAGGGTAGGGGGAATGATGGTGAAAAAAGGAAGACCAGGACCCCAAAAATGAAAAACAAAATAATTCAATAAGAAAGCATTTTTTCTCATTGTCACCCAGCTCTGCTGTTATAATAGGTAGACAGAAGTATTACATTTATGGATCAAGTTCATACTGAAGTCAGTGGAAGGATTCCCACTAACTTCATTGGGCTTGGAGTGGGCCTCAAATCAGCTGAACGGTCTGTCACTGATTTGAATGGGATCGCTCCCTAGAGCTGGTCAGGAACTTTGCAGCTAATGTCTTTTTTTGTTGGAAAAATGCCACTTCATCAAAACTGAAAGGAAAGGGGTGATTCCAACGAACTTCCCCTTTTGACAAAACATTGAAAAAAAGTTTTGGATTTGCAAAACGTCCCACTTCAACCCTTTCTACAATGAAATCGCTCAATTTTCAGTGCAAAGTTACTTTTATTTCAAAAATTAAGTTAATGTATAGTACAAATATTTAAGTCATAAAAATATAAAGTCATAAAAAAGATCAAAATAAAAATGAACCATTTTGATTATCCCAACCAACCAAAAAAAAAAATCTGGATTTTTGGTTGATGAACATTTTCACAATTTTGACTTTTTGTCCTGATTTGGGATGGGGGAAACTCTTTGAAATCTCAAAAAATTCTCATGGGATGCCCAGCTCAGCTACTCACGTGAGTCAAGTTTATTGGTACTTGCAAGATCATGCCCAATATCTTCTAGGGAGATGTTCCAGGAGCTGTTCTTTTCAGGTAATAAAAATGAGCCACTGCCTGAGGTGTCCAAAGGGGAAGTGTTAGAACAGATGAATAATTTAAACAGCAGTATGTTACCAAGACTGACGGTAATCAGCACGAGTTCTGAAGGAACTTAAGAATGAAGTGGCTGAGCTGCTGACAAAGAATATACAATTTATCATTAAAATTAGCTACTATACAAGAGAACTGGAGGGCAGCCAACGTTCTAGCTATCTTTTAAATAGGACTGGGGTGATCCCGGGAACTGAAGGCCAATGAGCCTTACGCTTCAGTACCAGATACATTGGTTGAAAGTAATGGTCAAAAATAGGTTTATAAAATGCATTCATTAGCATAACATGATCAGGACCACCCAATGTGGCCTTTGTCACTGTCCTTTGATCATTTCCTTCCCCAGGAAAACTGTGCCTCTCTGATCTACTAGAATTATTTGAGAGAATTTAGACAATTAATGGCTAAAAAAGAATAAAGAAAGAAAAAAGCCAAGATATTCACAAATGGGTGCTCTGAGTGATTCCTTAGCACCACTGGTGCCTTAAGTTTATCCTTCTAAGGCTGAGATTTTCAAAGGTGCCTAGGTGACTTAGGAGCATACATCTCATTGACTTTCAGTGGGACTTAAACTCTTAAATTAGGTGCTTTCAAAAATCCCACCCTCTAGTCCATAGTTAGGCACTAAATAAGTGGCCTGATTTTGAAAGGCACTGAGCACCCAGCTGACTTGAACGAGTTCTGAGGATGTTCAACAGTTCTCAAGAAGTGGTGAATATCTTCTATGCCCTAAGGGAACTGATGCAAAGAATTCTGAGGTCAGTGGAAAGACTCCCATTGACTTCAATAAGAAGTTTTTGATCATGCCCCAAATGCACCATCCATTTAGGTGCTTGATTCTGTCACTGTTAAAGTCAATGGTAGTTTTACCACTGTCTTCCATAGGAGCAGGATTAGGGCCTAAAATGAAGAGACCAGCTACGCTTACTGAAAGAAGAGGAACTCCGTTGGACCTGCACTCTGAGCTGCTTTGATTTTTCTTTTTCATTCTCTGCTTATTGAGGTCAGAACTGACACTTTTTTCATATACAAGTGTCCAAGCTTCACATGGGGAACTACTGTATCACCGCAGGCACGATAAGGTTGCGAGTTCTTTTACTTCCCTTGCCACCTCCAGGAAGGCTGGGGCCTGTCAGCCCCCACCCAGCCAGGCACAGAACCACTCTAAAACCTGTTGTTCTGGTGGTAGGGAGCACCAACTCCACCCCATAACTAGACTACTTGTGTAGGAGACCCTGCCAACATCACCTCAACTCTGCTTCTGGCAGGATTGTTGGTGGAGCAGCATCATTCAGAGACAAGATGAATATGGCAGTTCACCACTGGGAGCTATTGTTTCAGGCCCCCATCTGCAGACTCAAACAATCACCGGTTAGGCTTAAGTGACATTTTCAAGCTTTTCTTCACAACCACAAGGGCTAGAAACATTGTTCTTCCGTGAAAGTTGAGATTCTGCTCTCATTATTGATTCTAGGAGCTAGAGGACTAGGCACAGCTTATAATGCCAACGCCGTACTTCTGCCATACTCCCTTGCCCATGGGTCCATTACCCCAGACCCTTTTCCCCTCCCCACCATCCCTCCAGCTTCCCTTTATTACCATTCCCCTCCCTCTCCCCAAACTCCCTGACGGTTGAAGAGAGCAGGAAGGGTGAGGGTTTACTTACAGTTGAGGAATTAAGACAGTAGATGCGGACTGGAGGTTGATTAGCCTGTCACTCTCCATTTCCTGATTGCTGAGTGCTTCCACGCTCTCGTTTAAGGTGACTTTTTTTGCTTGGAATTTGCTTGAAAAGAGAAAAGAGAGAGGAATGAGCATTTGAAGCTAGAGATTTAGACCAGAGCTCTTCCTTAATCTCAAATACGGTGTCCCAGATTCTTGGTTTTTCTGAGCTGCGCTCAGCACAATTCAAGAGGGGGGAGCTACAAAGGTGGCTTAAATCATTAGACCTCACTTATACCCCACTTCTGTCCCTGGGGCTGGCTGGGCATAAGACTAGTCCCTGAAACAAAATGGAGATACCTTAGGACATTTCTTTTTTATGCTGGCTGCTCTCTCCAGTAAAGGTCATTCCAGCAACCAGGGATTGCCAAAGGGCCTGGTTGAGGCCACACCTCTCTTCCCTGGGCCATGCTGGAGAAGCTGGGACGAGACCCCCTCTACTGGCCTTCCCACCCTTCCGAGAGCAGCACAAAGAAATTGGGGTGAGCGCCAGGATCTGGTCCAATTTTTCCTACCAATGTGACTATTTTGGGCTAGATCCTAAATGGTGTAAATTGGTGTAACTCTGCTGACCCCAATGACGCTATGCCAACTGACACCAGCTGTGTATCTGGCCCACTTCCTTTTATGCAGTATTTTCTATTTTCATTTCTCTTTGCCTTTTCACTGTTCAGGGCCCAATGCACTCCCTGATTTCCAGAATACATCAGCTAGCGTTTGTCCTGCATTGGGATTGCAAGATCAAGGGTTGAACATTTAATGAAGCAATCTGATGTAGCAAAGGTGCAAAAAATCCAGGCATTGTAAAAGAGGAGGGGAAAATGCTATAAACCATAATGTAATGCAGATGAGAAGCACAAAGAACCTGCTCAAAATATAACCATTTTATTAATTGTTTTAAATTTAATTTACTAACTTCTATGAGAGGAGCCCTGCTACATTCACAGTAACCCTTTGCCCTTGAAGGAGACTATCCGAGGAGAGCAAATCATGAAAGACAGAGGAGGGAGGTGGGAAAACTATTTCCAGAGTTCACCGTTAATATTACTTTCCTGTTGTGTGTATTTTTAGGGACAAGACAGAACCAGTGGAACTAACATAGGGTGAAATAATGGAATGCCATGCAGTTCGGAATAACTGCATTTTACTCACTGGACGTCCATCACTGACAAATGTTGCTCTCTTGCAATTCCCAAATGCCCTGACACCAGCGTGGACAGAAAAGACCCGCTAGCCAACCTGCAAATGTCCTCACAATTTTGTAGTCCAGTAAATGGGGCAAGTGCAGTTAACAGCAGTAGAGAAATGCTTCCTATTTGATTTTATTAACTGATTGACATGAATTAATGCATGAGGATATTTGATTGTGTCATAAAATGTGTATATGAACATCATGATTCAATTTAATGTACCCATTACTGCTTGATGTGCCATTATATTAGACTAAATTAAAAGAATTTTATGGAAAAAAAATTACAATTAAAGACTCAAAATTGATTACATTCATAACTTAGAAGAAGATTTTCACTTCTATTAATATTTTGAATAATGACAATAAAAGTACTAGAAAACAACACAGTCTATTTGGAAGTGGACAAAGAAAAGAATGGCCGAGATAAACAAAGACAATGCAAACTAAAGTTAGGATTCTTTAGAATATCATTTATGCTGAGGTTAAGAGACATGGGAACAAACAAGCGATACACCTACGGCAGTTACTGTTAAAAGATCAGTGTTTGGCAAGAGCCCCAATGCAACACAACACAGCGGTTTAGACAATTGTCTCCCTGCTGTGTAAATATTGGTCATTGTTTATTTTTTTCCTGTGGTATCCACTACAGTACTTTCTATTCAAACTAGTAGATGACAGCCAACATTTTCAAAATGAGTCCTAAAAGTTATGTTCCATATTTAGGTGCTAAATAGGTGGCCCATTTTCAAAAGCTCCCAGCACTCAGCAAACTCCCACAGAAGTCAATGGGAGTTACTGAGCACTCAACAATTTTGAAAATCAGCCCACTTTTATTCAGGTGCTGTAAGGAAGGACCATTGATAACCCAATTACTACTAGCAGCCAGACATGGGATAACTTTATTGTTGGAAAAGGAAAGATTCCCCCATATTAGTGGCCTGGAGAAATAAAGCACGGGAAAACCTTTCAATGGAAAAAACGACAGCCTTATATCAAGATTAAATGGATTTTATAATATATGGTTGTAATTTGGGGAATTGGAACAAAATAAATATACAGATAACGGTAAGAGGCTGTCCAAACACAGACTGGTATTTTAAAGGTAACAAACAAAAGTTAAGATTTGTTTATAGTTAATTGCATGGAAATTTCATGTATGTTAATTATAACAAAAAAAGGTTTTAAAAACAAACAAACAAACAAAAAGGCTTCAGAGGCTATCTTTAGACACCTATTGTGCTGTCAAGGGAGGGCCTTACTGGAGTCCCACAATGAGGCCACTGGTCTCTGTGGCTTCAGCCCAAACTACCTCAGTGTCATTGCCTGCCTCAGTTCTGACCATCACCTCTACACTGTCCACTGCCTTGAAGCCACCTTAGCTCTGTTCTGAGTCCTCAGAAAAGGATCAATGGCAGGTAGGACCACCAGGGAGGCACTCTCAGCAGATCATAAGAATCTCTTTACTCTCTTTTTAGTATTGCCCAGATTCTCTTACCCACCTGTGCCAGATTGCAGTTTTGGTCAGGGTGACCCTCACCCCAGGCACACTTGGTGCAGTCCTCTTGTCCTTTCATTTTCCAACTGGGATAATAGTGCTTTATTCCCTCCAATCTCAAAACTTAACTGTATTTTAACCAAAATGCCCCACACTATCACGTAACTGAAATGCAAATGAGGCCACATGTATTCAGTCATTTCCCCTCACCAACCAACTATGCTGGTAGAGACCTCCCTCCCCTATGAACCCTGGGCCGCTCTTCTCCCTGCTCTCAACAGGTGTCAAAAGTGAGCTCCCTACTCTCTAGGACTTCAGGCCACAAGGCTTACAGATGTTCTAAAAAATATGAAATATGCTCAACTGAGTCTGCTAAAAGGTGCCGTTACAGCTCTGAGAGTACAGAGATAGTAATTTACACTAAAAGAAGTGGGATCCCACATCACTTCAAATTTTCTTCATGAATAATTTGTGTGTCCCCCTCCCACAAATTGTGGTCTTTTCATACATCATGTGCCAGGTGGAAAGTACCTACATAACATGTGAGTTCAAGTACGCACATAACATACCGTATCTACCCAGTTGTAACGCAGTTGTTATCTCACTCAAATAATATTTGAAAACCAGTCTGACTCTGAGAATGGAGAATTGAAGTCCCCAGGGAAATATGTCTGGGAATATTCTCTTTAGGGTTACCTCCCTGATGGAGAGAAAATTCAAGGAGCAAAGAGGCAAGATATCACATAGGCCTATCACACTTGCTCACATTTCATCTGCCACAAGATATGCGCTGACCTGGAGTTGACCTTACAGTTTACAGAATCAAAGGAACAGATACATAAGTGAAATCTGCACAATGTTACTGGTATCAGAACAGATGGAGAGGCAGGCAGGCAGGCAGCTCCATCACCTGCTCTAAAAATACAAATCAAACTACATTGATTGGTAGACTACTTTTAAGCAATGGCCCACATTCCTTGCCATCATTTACTTCCGCATATGAAGTCTACAATGCAAAGCATAGGAGGTACAGGAGGTTAATGCACTTGCCCAGTGGTTCTCAAACTGGGGATTGTGACCCAGATCGTGTAAGTGGGTCATTGGATGCTGCAGTCTTCACTGAAACATGTTACAAATCTGCCCATCCAGCTGGGCTGCACCTTGACAGCCTGTGGATCACGCTATCCTTTTTTTCTAGTATTTGCTGACCTGGCACAGGCATCTGGAAAGGTAAAGCAGTGCCATGACCCTGCACAGAAAGGCTGTATCTTTCCTGCCCACTGTGAGTGAAATTGACCCGGACCATACCATCTTACTTAGTCAATTTCACTCACAGCAGGAACTTTGGGTAAAACTCTTCAGTGCAAGAGCCTGGCACTATTCTATGAACCTGAAAGAAGGGAAAAGAGCTCAGAGCCTGCACACTGAGGATAAAGGGAGAGAGAATTAGGAAGGAAGACAGAAGCCAACACACAAAGACAGAGAAATTGACAGACGGACACACAGACAAAGAAATGTGCAGGAGCAAAGAAGTGAGAGAGAGAACACAAAGGAAGAACAAGTGAAATATCCAGGATTCCTACTCCCAAACATTTATCCAACTCACTATGTTAAACATATTGAACAACCAATTTTGGTAGCCCACCTCAAAAATTTGGTAGCCCAGTAGTGCAAAAACAATGCAGCAAATCAAAATCAGGTGAAAATTGAATGATGCAGTTCTGTCAAAAAAATAGTAGGTCATCATGTAACTAAAGACTATATCATAATGCATATGCATCCTGGGCCAAATTAAGGTTTCATAGGCAACCGTAATTCTGGCATTTCTTGACTTTTGAGTGCTTGAATAGGCAACATTCTTTTAACATAGGTTTTTTTTTTTTGTATGAAGTTTCCTAGGTTTGTAAACAAGCAAACTGAAAAGACAGCAATTCCATCATATTGACAAGCACATGGTTCAGCAGCAGGGTTGGAACTAGAGCTGTGTAAATAACTGAGTTCTCCGTTCACAGCCAGTTCTCAAAAAACTGAAGAAAAATTCATTTCAGGTTGAACAGAAACAAAAATGTTTTGAATTTTTCAGCAAACTGAAAAGCTGGGGGGAAAAAATCAACCCGAATGAAAATGCTTCATTTCAAAGATGAGCTTTTAAAAAAAAATAAAAAAATAAGAAATTGAAGGAAAATTCTAAATGCAAAGCTGTTTCAAATAGAAAAAATTCATTTCTCATATGTCAAAAGGAAACATTTTGATTTTTTCAGAATTTGGCGGAGGTTTGGTTTTTTGTTTTTGTTTTTTTCTGACACAATTTTGGCAAAATTGACATAAATTCACAAAATGTTTCTATTGACCTGAATCAGCATTGATTTTGACCAAATTAATTTTCAGCCAAAAAGGTTTTCCCAGCTCTAACTGGAACTTTGTGATCCATCAGACAGACCTCTGCCACTTGGGCTAATGCTGTAACTGATAGTAGTAATACGTTGTCAGCCTCTGTGTGGACCAGCACTACAGAGGGATGAGACACACACTTTTTATCTCTCAGTCCTTTTCACTGTGTTTTCTTTTCATTGGCAGCTGGTATTTACACAAAATGATTAAACCGTCCTCCCCAATCACCTTAGAGATTGTGTTTGGAAAGAATTAGAGTCTATACTTAAATTTTTCCCCCTTTTTCTATGAAAAAAAATTATACAGCAAGAAAATCCACATAAAACTCTCTCATAGTTATGTGTTTGAGGTGGATGGAAAAAGTTTTCAAAGTTTACACGTGGTACATGTGTTCTTTGTGCTATATACTGTGATGGTTGTACAAAAGATTTAAAATATAGCATTTTATATGCAATGGCTATTAACTATTCACTAAGCGTTACGTTCTGTCACTCTTACTCATGTTGAGTAGCATCTGATTACACAAGTAGTGCCACTGATATCAACTGAACCATATGGGAAGAATTCTCAGCAGGTGTCTTAAGACCAAGTACTAGCTCTAGAGTTATCGCCAAGCTTTGGAAAACTCTGCATTTGTCCCAACCAAAGGAACTCCTACACAGAGGAAGCCTTAGCTACCTTCTGAGAATGTTAGAGCTTAATTGATCCAATCTTCAGTGGCCAAGTCCAGGGACACAGGCAGCACTCCTTGGGAGAAAAAGTCACTCAACAGGGATTCCCTCAGCACAATCTTCATCGAGGGCCCTTTAGATACTATTACAAGCAGATAAGCCACTGGGCCAATGGGGCCCATGCCCAGAGGCACCAGCCAACTGGGGGTGGTGGTGGAAAAATGGGCTACTAGATGATTCATGGGAGGGACACAAAGAGGAGGCACCAGCTAAGGGGGGGTACATGACCTCCCCACGTGACCCCTCATGTGACTCCTCCCCGCCCCGCTCCCAGCCTGGGTCCCCCGCACTCTCCCCGTCCCCTCCCCTGCATCCCATGTTACCTGGGGGACAGATTTCTGGACTGCAGGGCTCTTTGGAACCACAGCGGCAAACGGAGCAGAATGTGGGGCTGGCAGACAGCCCCTTCTGGCAGCTCCTCCGGCGTGGCTGTACTGGTTCTGCCCCCAGCAGGGCTGTACAGACCCCAGGAGATGCAGCTGTGTGCAAGGGCTGGGGGTGGTACCCACATTCTGACCCTTTCACTGCTGCAGTTCCCTCTTGAATGTGTCCCCCCCCAGGTGTCTGGGGAGGGGGATGTGACTCTTTTTGCCCCTCCCAAGCATTGCTCCACCTGCCACTCCTGTCAGGGAGCGGGGTCGGGGCACAGGGGCTTGTCCCGCTCCACCCGCCCAGCACTCCTGCCGGGGAGCAGGGCAAGCCCCCACGCCCTGACACTATTTCCCCTCCAGGAGCGCCGGGGGGGGGCACTGCAGGTGGCAGGGGTGGGGAGGGGCCCCCATTTGCTCTGGCCCACGGCCCCACAAAACCATAATCTACCTCTGCTATAATATAAATATTTACTACTGCTATTATTACTTACATGTCAGAGGACTGGCCTAAGAGCTTTTCTCCTCCCGTGGGCTGGAAACATGAAGTCCTAAACGCATTCCATTGCACTGTAACAGGCAAAAAAGAATCAGCCGTGGCACTGTGATCCAGATAGTTCCCAGACTACAGGCTGAACATGTTGGTCCAGTTACAGTTCTAGGGAACCCACTTACGATTCCACCTCCTTCCAGATCCCTATTATCATCCAAACACTCCAGAAAAAAGACAATTTCTCAGGTCTGCTCTCTGACACATGCAAGTCCTCAGGGAGGGATCTCTCTTTTTGGGAACACAGTCTAACTGTCAGATTCTACACACAGAGCCCCAAAGAGACTCACTCCATGCGTATCAAAATGCAGCCAAAGATGTCGCATGGACATCACGGAGATGTCACAGCTGTGGATTTAGGTCACATGGATAGTGCCCATTCTAAACATGGTTGTTCTTGAGCTTCCTGTTGAGGCTAAGAAGCAGGGCTACATGCAGGTTGTTTCTCCGCAGTGGTGGCAGCAGAAATAAGGGAGAAGAAAGGAAGTCTAAGCAACTCCCTGCTCAGCTTTGTCTTGCTGGCAGGCAAGTTAAGCTTACTGTCTCGTATTAGTGCAGCTTAGGAATATGCTGCAGAAATGACCTTGGTGCATGGTACGTTCAATGCGGCCTGGGCGGCAACAGACAGCCTAAAACACATTTAAAATGTGCCAATCAAGTTTACATAAAAAGGCTCAATATCAAGGTGCACTGGGACCACGTGCGTCTGTGTTTGCAGTCAGCATACCTGCACCGATCACAGCCTATTGGAGACCAAATGGATTTACACCAGCCAAAAGGTGTGAGAGGAGAATCAGGACCATTAGCTTCTATTCTGTTGTGAGATCAAATCTCAGTTGCAAGACATTTCGCACCACTGAACAACAAGCATAAGGCCCTCGCTTCCATTAGCCGTACTTGCCACCCTTTTAATATCTATTCCATGCTTAACTTTAGTGCTTCAGCTGATGCTACCAGCCTTACAGCAGATACCGTTACTTTGATCAGAGCCGTACTGGGGGAATGGTGAAAGGAGCTGTGAGTAACCCAGTGGGAACGTGCAATTCTAGGTGTGTGGCAATGTCTACTCAAAGCTGCTTCTTTTTGCTTTGAAAATTAAACTGAAATGTTTAAAAAAAAAATCCTTTTGGCTGAAAGGGACCTTTGGTGCTTTATCATTTATTGACTTGTTCAGCTTGCAGCTATCCGGGTTTACTGTGGTTGCTGCTCTCTCTAATGCCACATTCCGCAAGTGTCAGCAGATAAACATCACTAGCAGGTCAGATGGGCTAGCCAGGATGGTCTTTCTTGCACCACATACATTACTGGTCCTTTTCTGTAGCTCTCTGCTAGGTATTGAAAGTGTGATGTAGTCTCTCTCTCTCCATTGCACCTTACAGATTCTGGGCTGCCTTGGGCACCAATGCAGCCCACAACGTAAGTTACAGTCGCAGTTGGGACTGCTTCAACTAATCACAGCCTTCCCTGAGTACTTAGGGGCTGTTCTACAGACACAGAATTTATTGCTATCCATTTTAGGTGGAAAGCGCTCAGATACTGCAGTGATGGCAAAGCACTATGAGACCCTAACAGATAAAACTGCTGGATCACAGAGCTCTCCAGCCTCGAATGCCCTCTCCCTTCCCTAGCACTTCTCTACACTGGGGAATGTGAATAGGACCGTGTACGCCAGCCCTGTGCTATTCCTGTTATGGGAGAATTCCCCTTGGGTCTGCTCCATCCCCTTTACTACCTGGGTACAATGCTGGAGTGCATTACAGGGGCCATAGCAGTGACCAGAATCTGGCCCATGCTGGATACTGCTTTACAACTTCAGAACACTTTACTAAGTAATCACCACAACTCTCCCGGTGGGGTAGGTCAATATCATTATTCCCATTTTACAGATGGGGAAACAGAGGTACAGAGCAGTTGCCCAAGGTCACAGAGTGAGCTAGTGACAGAGGTAGGAACAGAACCTGGGCATTCTGATGTCCAGCCTTTCTCACTGGTGTGTCAGGTTTCCGTTTCCTGCCCTAGACGAAACTCCCAAGTGTAAATGTATGAAAAAATATCTCCAAAGTGTCTCAAAAGGTTAGCAAAGGTGTGGCTGTTTGGAACTAAAAACAGGTGACGGTTTTGGAAGAAAGTTTTCTTTTGGCTCATTTATCTCAACCACTCACCTATCCCCTACTAACGAAACTTTGTGGAAATTTTTGTTTTGGCTGAAATGTTCCAATTTTTTTTTAAAAGCTCATTAACTTTAGCAAAAGTTATAACACAAGCAAAGAGGAAATAGACAAGATATATACAATTCTCAGTAAACAGAGACCAGGGGTCCACTGTACGGAATAACATTGAGCAATAACGCACATATCCTAAACAATGATATTTTCTATATGTCAGCAAGGCCAGATGTCTCCCGGCCTAGTCGTGAAGGGTTAGATTGTTCCTCTGACTTACATGTACATGTGTGGTGGGGAGACAGAGTAAGAAGCAAGCCCAATGAAAGCTGGTTGAAATTTTTTTTAATGGGATAATTTTCCACTGAAAAACAAGGTTTTGGAGAAGCAGATACTGTTAGCTTGAAAATTCCAATTCTGAAGAAAAATATTTATTTTCCTGTGAGGAATCTCAAAATAAAAAATTGTTCACTTTGAATTGACAAATTTACCAAATGAAAAAATTCATTTCATTTCTACTTAAAATATTGTTTTGTTTCAGTTTTAGGAAACCAAAACACTTTGGTTTTCCATTTTCTGATTTTGGATTTTCAGGGTTTGTTTTCTCCTCATTCTCTCTCTCTCTCTCTTTTTTTCTTTAACCTTTTCCCTAAAGGAGGGGTGGGGAAAAAATAAGTGAGCAATTTGGGGTGGAGGACAACTACTTTTTGCAACCCTGTCTTATTGTTTTCCAACTGAAAATAACTGAACAATAGTTGAAAAACTTCAAAAAAGTGTTACAAGTATTTTCCGTCCCCCATATTTGTTACAAAATTTCCTATAGGAAAAAAAATTGACTGAAAAATTAAGAACTGAAATTTCTTTCCCAAAAATTTGTTGTGGGGAAAAAAATTTGTTTTTCTCCCCAGCTCTGTGCATAACATGGAGCATGAAATAGCCTCCAGGCTGCAGAGAACTCAGGGGGTAGTCAGGAGTTGCTCCCTTCCCACTCCTGGGAATGTCTTATGAGAAACAGAGGGAGCATTTTAGGAGTAGCTCCTGTGTTCCCCTGAGCACCAGGGGATGTAATTCTGTGCCCTTCCTGTGTGGACCTCACAGAGTGAGGTGGTAGCGTCTTGACTTCTCCCTTTCCTCAGAGTTAGTGGAGCTGGCTGGGTGCATGAAAGAAGGGTGCTGCATCCCAATAAGGGGCGATACAGAATTCTTTGTCTCTCCATACAGTTTGCAGCTAGGGAGCCCTGGAAAACCACTGGGTGCTGCTCTGGGTTGCACAACTCTGTCACCTCCATATGGCACAACCTAGCCACCATAAAAACAACATGTATCCAGAGCAGGAACAAAACCACACTCATAAACACTTAAAATGCATGAAGACATTAAAGAAATGGTAGAAGCATTTGCTACATATTAGCAAAGTATGCAATGGGGCACCACAAGACTCAGAAAACAGTAACAAACATTTCTAACTCCTCCAAATTTAATGAAGCACAAATAGAATATCTTAAATCATGTACAGAAATTTCAGATATAAAGGATCCTATGCAACCACTTTAAAAAGGCAAGGCACCCAGCTCTGAGAGGTGTAGAGAAGGATTCTATAAAACGTTTTTTAAAAGTCTCCTTGTTACAGATATGGCAATTTTGTGCAATATCTTTGGGAGACCTTATTATATTAAGTTTATGTATGAATATGGGCCAAGGACTGTATATAATTCCAGGGGGGAGGGTAACTACAGTCCTCCAGGATCTAAAAACAGTGTGGAGTGATTAGCCAAATTCACTCACGTTGTAACACTGCAGATAGATTCCACCTCCTGGGAAGACTTGCATATACTGGTTCAAACTGGACCAACAGACTTTGGATAAATTGCCTGTGCTTAAACTGACTCAAGGCCTTGTTTCTGATCCAGCAAACAGACAGGACCTTTTACCCAAAGGGAAGGCCCCAACCCATAGGGAAGGATTCGAAAGTCTGACACCAGCCAGAGCCTTTGTGGAGTTGGGATAATCTCTGGTGAGTTTATTAGCAGGTGGGTTCTTTTGCTGTTTTAATGTTTTCACCTTAAGAATAGAAAGGGCTGTGTCGTACCTTGTAACTGTGGGCAATTCTGCTGTTTATAGCCACTATGGAAGGCAGGCAAAGCAGGCCTACTCAGGCAGTCTGACTTGCTGAGGAATTCACACTGTAGGCAGGGAACTGTGCAGCCCGGTCAGGAGGGAGAGAGATCTTCAGACATATTAAAAGGTTTTAATTGTTATTCAAAAAAAAACAAGGGTGGGGGGAATAGAAATTTATTAACACTTGATGCTGAAAAGTCTTTTGACAGGGAAATTGTCCTTTTTAATTTTCAGTTTTAGGAAAAATAAATTTCCCAATATAATACATTTAATGTAGAGGTGGCTGGGAAAAAATATATTTGGATTTTTTTTCCACTGAAAAATCCAATTTCCAATTAAACATTTTGTCAAAATCTCAAAATTGAGAAAATTTTGACCCACTCTAGGACAATAGATTAAGCCTATCTATCTTGGGGTTTATATGGTCATGTAAAACCAATAGCAATGGTCCAGACTCTCAAAAGGTATTTAGGCTCTTAACTTCCTTTGTAATCAATGAGACAAGGTGGGTGAGGTAATATCTTTTATAGACCAACTTCTGATAGAAGATAGTATTTCACCCACCTTGTCTCTAATATCCCGGAACCAACATGGCTACCACACCACTGGAAATTTGACATCAATGGAAATTAGGAGCCTGAATACTTGAGGATCTGCACCTAAGTCTCTAGTGGACATCAAGAAGTCTCTGGCATTTCTGCCTTTTTGAAGTGAAAACTTTGCTTGCGGTAGGGCTTTTGGGATGGATGCATGGTAGGAATTAATTTTATTCATTGATTCCCCTTTTTTGGTTGGGTTGATGAGTGAAAAAGCATCAGTGTTGTGTGTCATTATTACGGTGGAAAGGCTTTTTTAAAAGAGGAAACCATGAATGACAACCCTGAAGCTCATGTTAGACTTAATGGCTAAGATTTTCAAAGCTGGCTTAGGGATTTGGATGCACAATTAATTAAAATTAATGGGGACAGGGTATCCAAATCCCTTAGGCACCTTTGAAGATCCCAGCTAGCAGCTATACCTCAAAGCCCTTGACAGTAGGGTGAGATACACACCAGGCTTGCCTGTTTTCCCACTCCTGTTTTCAACAGAACCACTGTCAGCCACTGCCAGAGAAAATGAAAAATTAATGGGAATAAAACTAGGGAACGTCCTACATACAACTTCCTTTTACGTTTTAGTCTAGATTTAAAATTCTTCAAAATCAATCCCAGAGCCATTCACAACAATAAAGGAATGAGACTCAAATGATAAATGACAAGAAACAGAAGCTATGATGCTAAGTAGCTGGAAACCAAAAGGGATTCAAATATCAAGGAGTGCAAATGTGTCAGGTACCCTAAAATCTTTTTAAATGGCCTCAAATGTGCTCCTCCAAGGCTCTATAATATTTCAAACTTTTTTTCTGAAGTCCATGACTTCAGTACTTTAGCTCTTCTTATGATCATTAGCATATAATATTTTTATTAGAATACCACACAGAGGCCCCAGTAAAGACCAGAGCCCTATTGTGCTAACAGCTGTACAAACATGTATGAAAACAAAGTACTTATCCAGAAGAATTTACAAACTAAATAGACATATACAAATAACGTATACATTTGTGGGAGCCTGGGGGTAGGCGGCCGG